GAGACCGCTCCAGTAGATCTACAACCACTCCAGTAGCATGGAGACCGCCCCAGTAGATCTACGACCACTCCAGTAGCATGGAGACCGCTCCAGTAGATCTACGCCCACTCCAGCAGCATGGAGACCGCTCCAGTAGAGCTAGGGATGCTCTGATAGCCCTCCGGTCGCGTGACACTAACCCGGCGCTTGGCAACAACGTGGGATGTAAACAACGACCTGGGCGAGTGATCTGTCTGGAACGGTCTCCTTCCAAACCCCCTGCGCACCAACGCCGTCGCTCCTGCGATCTCTCACCCACCCACCCCCACCCACCAGGCACCCTCCCCCGCCTCCCTTCTTCCCTACCTCCCCCCCCCCCTCGATGAGTGAACCCAAATTATTCTTACTTTTTCAAATTAAGGCAAAAAGAACCCCCCACCCAAAACACCCCCCAAGGAGCCAGAAGCCCCCCACACTCCCCAACCCCCATCCCACCCTCCCTCCTCGCCCCCCCCCCCCCTAAAGAGCAACGAGCCATGCGAGGGCCCTGCCAGATTTCCTGGAAGACTCCGGGAAACGCAACGGCGTGAAGTGAAGCTGATTCAGAATCCAGACGCGACGCGACGTCTCTCTCTCTCTCTTTTCCCTCTTCAAATATTTCGTGGGGGGCAGCGCCGGGCGGAGAGCATCGCTCCCTTACCGCGTGCACAGGTTTCCACTGCCGCCGAGCTGGACCACGGGAGATTGCGCCTTGTGTGTCAGTACGCGCGTACGTGTCCGTACGTGCGTGTGCCGTATGTGTGTGCGTGTCTCGTACGTACGTGCCTGTGTGCCCGTCCGTACGTGCGTTCGGGTCCATACATCCGTGTGTCTAAATACGTACGTGGGTGTGTGTGCATACGTACGTATGCACGTGTGTGCATACGTACGTGTGTCTACATGACTTTACCGACTGAACCAAAGAAGACAGTCAGTTCAATGCTATACGGGGGATCTTTGTCTTTGCACATCATTACATCTCTCTGTCTCTCTCTTTGTCCTGTGTCCCTCCCCCACGTGTCTCTTTGTCTCAACTCTCTCACCTTCCTCCCTCCTCATCCTTCCGACTCACGACGCTCCCTGTCAGAAAAAAAAACCCAACCACCCCCCACTCACCTAACAAGCCACCCACTCACTCACCGAACCACCCACCCACTCACCCACTCACTCACTCTTCACTCACTCACCCACTCACTCACCGACCCACTCACCCACTCTCCACCCACTCACCCACTCTCCACTCACCACCCACCCACTCACTCATCGACCCACTCACCGACCCACTCACCCACTCTCCACCCACTCACCCACTAACTCACTCTCCACCCACTCACCCATTGACCCACTCACCCACTCACCCACTCACCCACTCACCACCCACTCACCCACTCTCCACTCACTCACCGACTCACTCACCTACTCTCCACCCACTCACCCACTCTCCACTCACTCACCCACTCTCCACCCACTCTCCACTCACTCACCCACTCACTCACTCACCGACCCACTCACCGACCCACTCTCCACCCACTCTCCACCCACTCACCCACTCACTCACTCGCCACCCACTCACCCACTCTCCACTCACTCACCCACTCACTCACTGACCCACTCACCCACTTTCCACCCACTCACCCACTCTCCACTCACTCACCCACTCTCCACCCACTCTCCACTCACTCACCCACTCACTCACTCATTCACCAACCCATTCACCCACTCACTCACTCACCGACCCACCCACCCACTCACCCACTCACTCACTCACAAGACAGAACTTAAACAGCTCTCACGACTATGTCTCATTACGAAAGTCAAAGCGTTGCTCCACAGGTCTGGGAGCTGAAAAGTCGCAACATCTCGGTCACCCCCTGCGCGTGCAGGAAGAGAGCTTTGACCTCGGGAGTCTTTCGAAGACGGCGATCCTTTGATCCCTGGGACCTCGTTGGATAGTCAACAGGGATCGGTTCCTGCCAATATTGTGGGGTTGACCCATTGAGAGCCTTCTAGATGAGCGGCTGCAGCCAGGATCTTAGAGTCGTCCACTTGGTACTTGACTGGTAGCCAGTGCGGATACATGACGGCGGGTGTGACGACGATGATGACGATGACGACGACGATGATGATGACGATGATGACAATGACGACGAAGATGATCACGATGACGACGATGATGACGACGATGATGATGACGACGAAGACGACGACGGTGATGACGACGACGACGATGATGATGACGATGACGATGATGATGAGGACCAGACGACGAGGTCCCTCGACTCAGAGACGCGAGCGCACAGCGGTTTGGAGAGCAGGAATGCCGCGCTGGAAGAATGTTTCCACCGCACAGGAATCGAGCGATTATGTCTGTGTACTTACAGTGAGTGAGACGGGGGGGAGTGGAGTGGGGGCATGGCGGGAGGGAAGGGATGTAGAGGGGGGGGGGCGAGGGATGGAGGGAGGGGGGTAGAGGAAGTGGGATTGGAGGGAGGGGGGGGGGTGGAGGGCGGGGTGGAGTGAGGATGAAGTGGAGCGAGGGTGGAGGGAGGGAGTGGGCGAGTGGTTATAAGGGGGAGGGGGCTGCGGAGGGAGGGGTAGAGGGAGGGAGGGGGTGTGAAGGAAGGGAGGGGTGGAGGGGGCTTGGGGTGGAGGGGTGGTGGAGAGAAAGGCGGAAGGGGGGGACGCTGCATGATAATAATAATAACAGGAGCACAATTTGAATCGAGCGATTTTAAATGACCCGTGCCGTCAGTCTTCTGTGCTCGCTACTCCACACTCTCCAGTGTCGCTATCCATTAGAAGCCTTCCAAACGTCTTATTTGACCAAATTTCACCACGCCTGGGCATCTGTGTGCTTGCGACGGCACACTTGTGTTCAATCAGCTGACTCGCAGCAGCTGCCAAAGGTCAAAAGTTCAAATCACAGTTTGAACTTACGGCTCTCGACTCATCATCATCATCATCTCCATCATCATTCCTCCGGCGTCGATGAAAAATGAGAACCGCCCTTGGCAAGTCAGCAATATGTGCCCCCGGGATGGGCAGACCTGCGCCTGCCATAGGAACGTGGAATTTCCCCCCACCGCCTCAGGGCAGCCGGTGGAGGCGGGTGCGGCCAGCCACGCCACCCACCGTGCGACCGAGCGAGCGCGAGGCGAGGGCCCAAGCGGGGGGGGGGGGGGGGGGGGGGCGGGGGCCATGCGGAGATCGCGAGTTCAAACCCGGGGTCAGGACTCAACTCATCGTGATCATCATCACCATCATCATCACCATCATCATCATCATCGCTGTCATCATCATTGACATCGCGCAAACCGAATCGCTCGCTGGCACTCGCTCCCACCTCGACGCCTAGCAGAGGAACGGACGGAGGGAGGGGTGATCCACCAACCCCGACTGCTGCTGCTGCTGCTGCTGCCTCTACAGCACTGAATCAGTACAGGAAGCCACTTGCAGCAGCAGCAGCAGCAGAGTTGCCACCGCCACATCTCCCCCCCCCACCCCCAACCGCGAACGTTTGGCAGGCCCCTCCTGACAACGAGTTGCGAGTCTCTCGAGAGTGGCTCTCCCGGGTCAACTCGCACATCAAAGAGATAAGTTGCAGGGTGCCGGCGTAGTCGTCATCATCCGGCTAAGGCACGCCCACTCGCTCGCTCTCTAACTCGCTCTGTCTGACTCGCTCACTTGCTCTCTGACTCACTCACTCTCTCTCAGTTTCTCTCTCGCTCGCTCACTCTCTCACTCGCTCGCTCTCTAACTCGCTCTGTCTGACTCGCTCACTCGCTCTCTGACTCACTCACTCTCTCTCTCTCAGTTTCTCTCTCTCGCTCACTCGCTCACTCACTCTCTCACTCGCTCACTCTCTGACTCACTCTCTCACTCTCTCTCTCTCACTCGCTCACTCACTCTCTCACTCGCTCGCTCTCTAACTCGCTCTGTCTGACTCGCTCACTCGCTCTCTCACTCACTCACTCTCTCAGTCTCTCTCTCACTCGCTCACTCACTCTCTCACTCGCTCACTCACTCTCTCACTCGCTCGCTCTCTAACTCGCTCTGTCTGACTCGCTCACTCGCTCTCTCACTCACTCACTCTCTCTCGCTCTCACTCGCTCTCTCACTCACTCTCTCACTCGCTCACTCTCTCACGCTCTCACTCGCTCTCTAACTTACTCTCTTTCTCACTCGCTCACTCACTCACTCTCTCACTCGCTCTCTAACTCACTCGCTCACTCACTCACTCTCTCACTCACTCTCTGACTCACTCTCTCACTCGCTCTCTAACTCACTCTCTCTCACTCACTCGCTCTCACTCACTCGCTCTCTAACTCACTCTCTCTCACTCGCTATCTAACTCACTCCTCTGTACCAGCGTGGACGGCACCCTCATGTTCACCTTCTGAAGCGCTCGCTCGTCAACGTGGCGTGCGCAAATGACCACCACAACCACGTGACTTTTCTTTCATGTTGTGCGCGATGCTTTTTAGCGCAACAGCACATGGATTTGTAGCGTTTATTTTCATTTGTGTGCTGGTGACTTTGTGTATTTCATATCGAAATCGCCTCCAGTGCTTTTGCTGCTGGCGGCAATAAAAGTTGTTTAAAAGTCAAAGTATAACTCACTCTCTAACTCTCTCTCACTCACCCTCTCACTCGCTCACTCGCCCTCGCACTCTCTGACTCGCTCTCTCTGACTCGCTGTCTCTCACTCTCTCTCACTCACTCGCTCGCTTACTCACTCTCTCACTCGCTCTCTCACTCGCACTCTCTGACTCGCTCTCTCTCACTCTCTCTCACTCGCTCGCTCTCTCACTCACTCACTCACTCTCTCTCGCTCTCTCGCTCTCTCACTCACTCTCTCTCGCTCTCTCACTCTCTCTCTCGCTCGCTCACACTCTCTCTCACTCTCTCACTCGCTCTCTCACTCGCTCTCTCTCTCGCTCTCTCTCTCTCTCGCTCTCTCTCTCTCTCGCTCGCTCGCGTACCTGGGAAGAGGAACCTGGTGGGCACGCTGAGCTGAGCCTCGCGACTCACGGAGTAGGCCACGTCCGGCCCCCGGCTGCCCCTCCTCGCCGCACACAGCCCCTCGGCCCGGCGCACTCCGTCGGGCAGGGCGGGCAGGTCGAGTGCTCGCAGGACGTCCACCACGTCGCCTGGGCGCACGAGGGAGAGAGTAACGGGGGAGAGACACGGTTGTCATCGTCGTCATTATCAGAGGCATCATCAGCAGAAGCAGCATCATCATCAGCATCATCAGAGGCATCATCATCATCAGCAGCGTCAGCAGCAGCGGCATTATCATCAAATACATCATGATCAGCATCATCATCATCGGCAGCATCATCATCATCAGCAGCAGTATTTTCGTCGGAGGCATTATCATTATAATGACCAGCAGCAGAAGCAGCATTATCATTTCAGTTTCAGTTTATTTATTTTGGTATAGCCCCTGTGAGCCATTCGGCTCTTGAATCGGGTGCAACCACAACAAACAAAAAAACAAAAACACGCACAAGAAAAACATCATCAGCAGAAGCAGGATTGTCATCAGAGGCATCAGCAGCATCAGCATCATCAGCAGAAGCAGGATTATCATCGCGGTCATTTTTATCATCAGCATCGTCATCATCATCATCAGCAGCATTGTCATCAGAGGCAGCATCGCAAGCAATTCCACCCTCACGATCACCATGATCATCATTCCCACAACTAACATACGTGTAGAATGTGGACCATATTTATGTATTCATTTAAACCCGGGAAAATGTTCGCTGAAAATGAGCCCAGCTTGTTCCCGAACGCTCGATCTGGCGTAGACTCGCACAGAGACCCACTGACTCACGTAGAGACCCATGGACTCACATCGAGATCCATAGATTCACATAGAGTAATATAGACTCATATAGAGACCCATTGACTCACACAGAGACCCATAGAGTCACACAGAGACCCATAGAGTCACACAGAGACCCATAGACTCACATAGAGACCCATAGAGTCACACAGAGACCCATAGAGTCACACAGAGACCCATAGACTCACATAGAGAAATATAGACTCATATAGAGACCCATAGGCTCACACAGAGATCCATAGAGTCACACAGAGACCCATAGAGTCACACAGAGACCCATAGACTCACATAGAGAAATATAGACTCATATAGAGACCCATAGGCTCACACAGAGATCCATAGAGTCACACAGAGACCCATAGAGTCACACAGAGACCCATAGAGTCACACAAAGACCCATAGACTCACATAGAGAAATATAGACTCATATAGAGACCCATAGACTCACACAGAGACCCATAGAGTCACACAGAGACCCATAGAGTCACACAGAGACCCATAGACTCACATAGAGACCCATAGAGTCACACAGAGACCCATAGACTCACATAGAGATCCATAGAGTCACACAGAGACCCATAGACTCACATAGAGAAATATAGACTCATATAGAGACCCATAGGCTCACACAGAGATCCATAGAGTCACACAGAGACCCATAGAGTCACACAGAGACCCATAGACTCACATAGAGACCCATAGAGTCACACAGAGACCAATAGAGTCACACAAAGACCCATAGAGTCACACAGAGACCAATAGACTCACACAAAGACCCATAGAGTCACACAGAGACCCATAGACTCACACAAAGACCCATAGAGTCACACAAAGACCCATAGAGTCACACAGAGACCCATAGACTCACATAGAGACCCATAGAGTCACACAGAGACCCATAGACTCACACAGAGACCCATAGAGTCACACAGAGACCCATAGACTCACACAGAGACCCATAGAGTCACACAGAGACCCATATACTCACACAGAGACCCATAGAGTCACATAGAGACCCATAGAGTCACACAGAGACCCATAGAGTCACACAGAGACCCATAGACTCACATAGAGAAATATAGACTCATATAGAGACCCATAGGCTCACACAGAGATCCATAGAGTCATTTGAGGCTGAGTCGAGAGGGTGGAGGGGGGTGGAGGGGAGGGATGGAGGGGGTGGGGGGTGAGAGCGTGGAGGGGAGGAGGTGGAGTGGGGGAGGGGGTGAGGGGGTAGAGGGGAGGGAGTGGAGGGGGTTGTGGAAGATATCGGGGTCTTGGGGGTGGAGGGGTGGAGGGGGTGTAGGGGGTGGAGGAGATGGAGGGGCGGGGGTGGAGCCACTCCGTGGCCTCTTGGACGGCGAATCCAGAGCACGAGGGGGCCCCGCCCACGGAACCCCCCCCGCCCCGCCCCCCGGCCTCGTAGCCCATCGCTCAATCACTCCGCGTTTAACCCCCGGCCTGAATTAGGCTGCGTCCCCATAAATACATCAGCTGATTGGCCCGGCGCATGGGTGGGGCATGGGTGGTGGTGGTGGTGGGGGTCATGGGGTGGGGGTGGTGTTTGGTGGTGGGGGTCACGGGGCGGGGTCACGTTTCACGCCCCAGAGTCCCGAGCAAGCAAGGGGCATCGCGTTTAAGTTTGTAAAAAAAAAATTGGGTCCTCTGCGTGAGCTCATGAGTCTCTTTAGGAGTCAGTGGGGCTCTATGTGAGTCAATGGGTTTCTATGTGAGTCAATGGGTCGTTATGTGATTCTATGGGTCTATGTGAATCTATCGGTCTCTATGTGAGTCTATGAGTCGCTATGTGAGTCAATGGGTCTCTATGTGAGTCTAAGTGTCTCTACGTGGGTCTATGGGTCTCTATGTGAGTCAATGGGTCATTATGTGAATCAAAGGGTCTCTATGTGAGTCTATGTGAGTCTAAATTAGTCCATGAGTCTATATTAATCTATGAGTCTATGGGTCTCGATGTAAATCTATGAGTCTAAATGTGAGTGTGTGGGTCCTCTCTGTGAGTCGATGGGTCTCTATGTGAGTGCATTGGTATGTCTGTGAGTCTATGGTTCTATGTGTCAATCTATGGGTCTCTGTGTAAGTCTATGGGTCTCTACGTGAGTCTATGAGACTCTAAGCGAGTCTATAAGTCTCTATGTGAGTCTATGAGCCTCTGTGAGTCTATGAGTCGCCATGTGAATCTATGGGTCTCTATTGGAGTCTATGGTTATCTGGACGAGTCTCTGGGTCTCTATGTAAGTCTATGGGTCTCTATGTGAGTGTATGGGACTCTAAGCGAGTCTAAAAGTCTCTATGTGAGTCTATGAGCCTGTTTGAGTCTATGAGTCTAGATGTGAATCTATGGGTCTCTATTGGAGTCTATGGTTCTCTGAACGAGTCTATGGGTCTCTATGTAAGTCTATGGGTCTCTATGTGAGTGTATGGGACTCTAAGCGAGTCTAAAAGTCTCTATGTGAGTCTATGAGCTTGTGTGAGTCTATGTGCCTCGATGTGAATCTATGGGTCTCTATTGGAGTCTATGGTTCTCTGTAATGAGTCTATGGGGCTCTATGTAAGTCTATGGGTATCTACGTGGGTCTATGGGACTCCAAGCCTTTCTAAAAGTCTCTATGTGAGTCTATGAGCTTGTGTGAGTCTATGAGTCTCGATGTGAATCTATGGGTCTCTATTGGAGTCTATGGTTCTCTGAATGAGTCTATGGGGCTCTATGTAAGTCTATGGGTCTCTACGTGGGTCTATGGGACTCTAAGCGTTTCTAAAAGTCTCTATGTGAGTCTATGAGCTTGTGTGAGTCTATGAGTCTCTATGTGAATCTATAGGTCTCTATTGGAGTCTATGGTTCTCTGAATGAGTCTATGGGTCTCTATGTAAGTCTATGGGTCTCTATGTGAGTGTATGGGACTCTAAGCGAGTCTAAAAGTCTCTATGTGAGTCTATGAGCTTGTGTGAGTCTATGAGTCTCGATGTGAATCTATGGGTCTCTATTGGAGTCTATGGTTCTCTGAATGAGTCTATGGGTCTCTATGGGAGCTACTAATCACCAGTCTGAGACCATCAACTCACCGTAAGTAAGAACCCGGCTAGAGATACACGGTATTTGTCTATCGCTATTAATCTGTTGTTATTTATCGATATATAAGCGGACAAAAAGTAATGCAACAACATTTTAATTTTGCATTTTCATTATTGACAGCTTCACATTGTCGCCTCTCAGAAGCCGGGCCACGACGTCAGGCACCGCCATCCGGAGACGGGGACACAAAACCGCAGCGTCCTTCGAGCGGCATCGAGAGCGAGTGGAACCCCCTCGGGATTCCACTCGGCAAGGACGGGGGGGCTCGGAGTGGGGGGGGAGTGGAGGGGGTGGGGGCTTCCCCCTTCCCCTCGCACCTGGCCAACAACGAACTCCGAGGTGGTGAAGGATCGCGGGTGGCATTGCGCGGGGCGCGCGGAGCAGCGAGGCCTTCGCGTGGTCGTCGCGCGGTTTCTAGGAACGCGATTATCGATTTCCCCCCCTCCCACCCCACTCCGCTGATTCAATTGTCTCGAAGAATCTCGGCAACGCGTCGGTGGCGGCACGACGCCGAGTCGGAACGCGCTCCCTACCCCCAACCCACCCCCCCCACCCCCTTAAAAAAAAAACAGTGCCGTGAACTTTAAAACAACCCCCCACCCACACACACACCGATCCGACACCCCGACACACACCCCTAGACACACACACACACACCGACACACACACCCCTAGACACACACCGACACACACACACCGACACACACACACCCTTAGACACACACACACACCCTTAGACACACACCGACACACACCCCTAGACACACACCGACACACACCCCTACACACACACACCCCTACACACACACACCCCTAGACACACACCAACACACACACACCCCTAGACACACACCGACACACACCGACACACCCCTAGACACACACACACACCCCTAGACACACACACACACCCCTAGAAACACACACACCGACACACACCCCTAGACACACACACACACCCCTAGACACACACACACCCCTACACACACACACCCCTAGACACACACCACACACACACACCCCTAGACACACACCGACACACACCGACACACCCCTAGACACACACACACACCCCTAGACACACACACACCCCTAGAAACACACACACCGACACACACCCCGACACACACACACACCCCTAGACACACATCGACACACACACACCCCTAGACACACACACACACCCCCAGACACACACACCCACCGACACACACCCCTACACACACA